GGGGGGGGGGTGACGACGAGGAGTGCATCCTTGTCCGTCACGGTCTCGCTTTCACTCCACCGCTCCCGCCGCGGCGCACGTTGGGTTGCCCGCCCGCACGGCGCACACGCGCTAACAGACTGCCCGCTCGGCTGTGCCTCCAGGGAGGGCCGCGTCAGCTCGCGCCATGTCATCCTCCGGCGCCTCGAGGAGGACGGCTTCATCATCATGACGGACCGGCGCAGCAAGAAGTCTGCCGAGCTCGTGAGTGACATCCACCGTGCCCGATTCTTATTGCTTTTGTCTGATTTGCTTTGTCGACTAAAGTTTTGCCTATTTTTGTTTTCTAGGCTGAGAACCCAGTCGCCTGCATGACCTTCCTGTGGTGCTACAGGAGGGAGGACGGCTTGACCGTCAACCAGCAGGTAAGTGCCGAGTGCGTGAGAATGCTCGAGAATAAGTGACCGCGCGAGTAAAAATTAATTTTGACAGCGATGCGAATAATCCCATGTGCGCGCTGCAGGTGCGGATAGAGGGCGACGTGGTGGAGCTGGGAGAGGACCGGTACCTGGACCTGTACGAGCGGGAGCCGCTGTTCTGCAAAGTGCGCAGCCACCTCTGCCACCAGGGCGTGGAGGTGGACTGGGACGAGCTCAAGAGCAAGCACGACGACATCCTGAAGAAGGTGGCCGAGGGCACCACGACCCTTCCCTGCCCCGAGCACTTGTAAGTAACGTCGCGCTCGAGTGAATTGGTACAGTATTGTGGCTGTCAATCACTCTCACTCTCATTCGCCGCACCGCCCTGTTTCCACAGCGTCGCCTACAAGCTGTTCCCCACCATGATCGAGTTCTACTACGCCCACGACTCCAACATCGGCGACCGCATCATGTTCGTCAAGAAGGCGGGCGGGGCGTGGGAGAACACCAGGATTGCAGCCTAGGCCGGGTCGACAATGGGCGGGGCCGCCACTGGCTCCAGAGGCTGCAGAGTTTGCCATACCGGGTTGAGGCTTCTTCATGAAGCTCAGAGTGATTCGACGTGCCATATCTAAATGAGCGGGAGGGTTCGTGTAAGTCTAAAATAACTATCAACTGGTCAACGGAGAGCGGACGCCAGGAGTGAAGCAGAGTGCAGAGCCAGGAGCGCCACATGCTCGGGACATGACAGGATATGGTGACAACATTCATAATTGCCATAGGTGCGTAAGCAAATCCGAGTTTCCTTTCATGTGGCCTGGAGTAGTAACTCATAAAACATGTGTTTCACAAAGCTCCAACATCCACGTCTCGCATCCATAGTTGTTCCGTGCGTAATGCGTTTCAGCAAAACACAAATTCCTAAATTGAAAATCATAAGTTATTTGGCCATTTGCTCTGCTTACTGTTTGGCACGCTTAACTGTGAAAATCGACGACACTGCCAAGTCTATTAACACTTTTAGAAACTCTCCCTTAACTCCTATATAATTATTGTTGTATGTATAAAAATGTTCACTAATCTAACTCCTGATTTAATAAATTACATTGTAAGATATATAGATGAAACACTCTAATGTAGAGGAGGAAATACTGTAAGTCACATATCTTGATCATTTATTTCAACAAAGACGTATAAAAACCTGATTTGAGGGAGCAAAAGATGCAGACAGCTACCCATTAGCAGCAAATGAACTTACGATGACAAATACTGAAAATTAACATAGATGCAATTATAGTGTCAAAACAGGGTTCAAGCTACAGGTCGTCATCGAATTTCAGTGGGCATTTACTGTACTTTTTAAAAATCGGTACCATAGACAAGTACGGTTAAAATTACGGAAACACAGCAAAAACAACTTCATTACGTTAAAAAATGACTTTTGCTGGCTGAGCATGTAGCATTTGACACAATAATTCGCTACTGTCACAGGAGGACCCCTCTCGATAATTACGTACATCGCAACTACACATTCATATCACATTGGCGCAGTTCAAAAACATACATTTGAACCATGTATACTCATCTTAAAGAAAGGCAACACAGAATAACAGAGTATAATCGAAATTATGATTAGGATTGAGCCACTCGTTTACACCATTCTAGTGCACACACTCTCACACACACTCTTTCATGCATACATTAATTTCCATTCGTACTCTAAAATACACAACAGCATACAGGCACTGAGACATACTTATACACACATACGCACGTAAAAACTCACATACACACACATTCTCCCTCACACATACACGCACACACTTTTAAGTCGTGAAGTTGGCACACCTAGGTCCGCGGTCACTGCGTGGTCACTGCGTGGTCACTGGGCGGAGGGGCACTGGCCGGGCTCGCAGCGGTGCGTGGCGCGCTGGTACACCGTGCCCTCCTCGCAGCGGAACCTGAAGTCCAGCAGCTGCGCGCGGCTGAAGCCGGGCGAGCAATAGTGGAACAGCCGGCAGTCCGCCGGGTCGGCGTGGAACGCCTTCAGCTCCCGGCCCGAGCACACGAACCGCTGCGGCTGCGACTTCTTGTGCGGGCGCCTCGGTGGCGGCGGCGCGGAGGCTGCGACAGCCGGCTCCTGCTCCCCGAGGGGGCGGCGGCCTTCCCCCGCGGTGGACGGAGAGGATGGTAATGTTGTTGTAGATGGCACGTGGCGAGGGTCCAGCGTCTCCTCCTGCTTCTCGCCGACGCGGAAGCGGTGCGCGCCGCTTGCGCTCGCTGCAGTCGGCGTGGTCGACGCCATGCTGGGTGTCGTTGTCGGGGTGTCCGAGTCCAAGAGATTGTTGTTCGGCGTGACGAGCCCCGTGGTCGAGGACTTGGAGGGTCCGGCGTCCGGAGGGGACGGCAGGGTGGCCGGGGGTTTGTCGGAGACCACCTGGGGGATGGAAGTCACGGCCACGGCGTCCTTGTCGATGCCCGTGCTGGGTGTGGGCTGAGGCCGCGGCGAGGCGAGGTCCGAGGCGTACACCACGGGCTGATGGGGGTCGTCGGCGCGCAGCGAGGCCACTGAAAGTGGCGCATGCCTCTCGACGCTCTCCCCCCGGTCGTCGTCGACGAAGGCCGAGGCCGTGGCGACGGCGGTGACGGGCGGCACGGCCGTGGCGGGCCCGGGGTGCTTCTCGGGCAACAAGCTGGACGGTTTGCTGTCCACGCCCTGGGGCTCGATCAGCGGCTCGTAGTTGTCGTCGACGTAGTCGTCCGGATTGAACTGCCTGGCGGTGGTGGTGGTGAGCGGGGTGCCCACGGTGGCCACGGCGTCGCTGTAGCGGAAGTACTCTTGCTGCTCGTCGCCGGCGGCCAGAGCCCGCGGGAAGCCGTCGGTGTGGGTGTCCGCCCGTCGCCCTGACACGGGCACGGCCGCGTCGTAGTCGGCGTAGTAGAACTCGAGCGGACTGTCCTGCGGGGCGGCTCGGCGCGCCCGCCGCGTTCTCTCCCCCCGCACCTCCCCGACCGCGTCCTGGACCACGTCCACGAGCACCGCCAAGGAGCGCCGCGCCCGCCTCGCCACGCCACCGAAGCCCTGGTCCGCGCTGGCCAGCAGCTCACACTCGACAAGCTCCTCGGTGTCGCACGAGCCCAGCCCCTGGTTGAACAGCTGGCCCGGCGGGCAGGGCTGCGTGGACACGCGGTGAGCGCGACTCGACCCCGGGTCGGCGTGGCACACGTGGAACATGGCGCAGCCGGACAGCACGTCCGCGAACAGCCCGGGCCCCGCGCAGCGGAAGCCTGCGCCGTCCTCGCGGTCCGGACCTACAGGCACAGAGACGCACACCGCGCGGGGTCAGAAGGCTGCGGGGTCCTGAGGGCGCCAGCACCTGCCCCTGCCCCTCCCAGCGCCAGCTCAGCGGGGATGTTATCCGAGGAGATAGGGTGGGGTGAAAATCAGGGGTCGAAATAAAAGGTGGGGCTCGGAAAAGGTTACTTAAAGACTTTGTAAGATAACAGGCAAGCTTCAATTAGCGAACAATATCCAAAGTTGAGTATGTACGACGATTTTAAACCCGACGCCCAGGAATCGATCCAGATGTTATCAAGGAGATGACTATCTCAGAGTAGGTTCGAAACCGGGGGAAATTAAGAATGTTTTGCTTATCGCTTATTGGCCTTTTGCGATTTATGCCGAAAAATAGCGTTTTGCTTAGGGATCATCCCCCGAGTCCGTCATTTACCTGCCAAGTTCAGCCGATGCCAGCTCTCATAGCGCCTGACAGGTAGGCAATATCTTATATGTACTGCATGCGTGCACTGCGGGGTGGCCTACTCCGAGTCCCGCAGGCGCCAAGCTTCCATAATTTTGCCGAATGCATCTGAGAAAAATGGACTTGCTTTCTGGAAAATTCCTCAGAATAATTGTGAAGGGCTAAGCATTGGAGCACAGTGCCTACTCGGCCAGAGTAAAGCTTCCTAGATTTCGTCAGTTAATCCGAGATGGCAGTTATCTTGATGGACCGTCCCCTGCGTAGAAGCCGAAAAGTGTCATTTTTGCCAACTGAATTTTCATTCCAGTGTCTTCTGGATTTCATCGGGGCAAAGCTTACTTTCGTCTCCACTTAAAACGTCTATTAAAGTCACCTTTTTCGGGCCCACCTTTTCTTCTATTCCCAGTCTTCACACCATCCTTGTTCTGATCTCCAGGGACACCTATTTCTTTCGTCAATAGGCGTTATGTACCAAGCTGAGAGGGTTAGGTATTTGCAGAAAGCCCCCAAATAGATACCGTAGAACCAAAGAAACGACCTCGTTGAAAGCGAGAGTCAACGAGGAAATGTGCAAATGAAAGTGCAGAGGTCAATTGGAAAACGTAAATAACAAGTCGGGAGTTTTAAAAAGGATTGTATAAAAATCGAGCTGGCATTTTTTTTTTGTCCACCTTCAATATTACATGTCGGGTAAAGGTCCGAATGAGCTGAATCAAGGAAGCTGGGAGAGTTTCATGTCAGTGCAGTTTAGAGGATGGCACGCACGCAAAACGAATACAGACACGCAACCACACGCCAAGAGGGATAGGTGAGTGTGTTGAAGTAAGTGGTAGTTGGATGCGATGCGTTCAGGCCGAGGTTCAGGCGTCACTTACTTCATACCGCTTGCAGTGATCAGTCACTTAGTCGGTCACTTGTGTTGCGAATGACCTGGAAACATGACACACAATGATGATGATAATGGTGATGCCTTCGAAGCGCATGAGGATGACGATGACAAAAAGTGACTTCGATGATGATGATTAGATTCCCCCATGCATCGCCACACAGTTTAAAATGCAAAAAGAATCATGCGCAATGTGTCAAATTACTCGAGGGCTGTTTGTGTAAGCAAGTCTACACACTACGAAAGTCATACATATATCAGTGAAGCAAAATCACTATTAAGGCGTAAAGTCGCTTACTTGCATGCTCGTCTTGCTAAAAACATAAACGACCGGCAACGTTTAAGACAGTTACAATGATGAAGATACACTAAATCAATATATCATGTTTGTCTTCTAACCTCGCAGTGCCGGGCGGATCCGCTGCGGTGAGCGCTTCCTGCGGGTGGCAACCTTGAGCGAGTCGAACGTCGGCACCGTCACGGGCTCTGTGGGCGGATGGCGCAGCGTTAGTTCGGATGGTGTCGCTTTATGACCCTCTGGCGGGCAGGCCGAGGGGCGCCGCGGAGAGGCCAGGCCGACACATACGTGGAGGTGGAGCAAGAGCGCTCGGCTCGGCGCATCGTTTCCCGTTCGGCATAAGTCGTTCCATTCTTTTAAAGCCTTATCAGTTTTTTTCCCCTCTCACCTCCACGTGCTTCACAACATTTTCCTTCGTGTTCCCGTTTGAAAGCTGCCGACGACGGCAGCAGCTGCGGCAGCTGCGGCATCAGCAGCACACGAGCTCCCGCATCCTGAACGGGATTCTTCTGTTCTTCGCCCATCCCGTAAATCCATAACTCCCCCCGTGCTGCGCGGCTGCGCGGCTGCGCGCCCGCCGGCACAGACAGGCTCCGCACAATGAGACCCTTACCTTCCGGCGGCGGCAGGCGGAAGTGCGCGTTGAGGTTGTAGTAGCGCGTGGACACGCTGCAGTCCACCAGCTCGCGCGCCTGGCAGGTGCGGCTGCGCTGGTTGAAGCGCGTCCCGGGCCCGCACATGAACTTGTTGTCCTGCAGCCTGGATGGCACACGCGAGAGGGGCGCTTGAAAACTTGTGCAACCGTCGCGACTTTATTGTTTCGCTGTACATCCTATTAAATGAGTAACCTCGGTCGCACGCGTGTGGGCCCGACCGCATACTGATGTTGCGGCGCAGGTAATTTCGATCTGCGTTAAGAGCGGCTAAAGTAGCACAAATCACTCCAGCACGATGGCGGGAGCGGGTAGACAGACAAGGCTCCTGGCAAGGAGTGCCGGCCGCCCGTCGCACAGCTTTACGTCTTGGTCTGCGGCCCTGAACTTACGGGACAGGACGCCGCACAGCACCTGTGTCAGCGCTCTCGCATTTGCTCTCATTTGCCGTTAAAACGGCTCGGCTGTGCGGCAGCGGCTACCGGAGAGCCTCACGCTTGCCTAGTCCACACGTACAGCCGCGGGGCTCGTGCGCGGCTGTAGCATAGCTGGAGAGCAGACTCGTTTTATGCCCACTATCCCAACGATATTTATTACAGCTTGCCGATTTCGACGATTGTAAGAGCGCAGCGCGCCCTCGACACACTTTTATTTACCGCTAAACGGCGAGCAAGTGCCTCGGCACGGTAATGGACCTGGTGCGTGGCGCACCTCCGTGCGCAGCGGTCTCACTTCCTTGCAAACCCCGCATCCCGTGCCCCGTGGCGGTGCGACCCGCACCCGGCACCACCCGGGCCACCGCACCGTCCACCCTGGTCCCACCTGTCGTTGCCGGCCTGCGAGCAGATGTGGAACAGCTGGCAGTCGACCTGCGTGTCGGCGTAGAAGCCGCCGGCCACCTTGTCGGAGCACGAGAACTCCGTCTCTGGGAGCGGGTCTGATGTGAGCGGCTCCACGGATGGCGTCGGCGTCGGCGCCTCGAGCGGGTCCTCCATGAAGGCGTACCGCGACCTGCCGCGGGCGCGCGTCACCTGCGGCCGCGCCCGCCTCTTCGGAACGGCGGCCTCTCCCGTGTCCTCCACGGCACCCTCATCGAGTGGCTCTGCGGGCAGAAGGTTCAGCGGTTGAGGACGCCAGCCGTGGACTCCGGGGTCCGGGTGGGCCGGGGCTGTACGTACCCGCAGGGGTGGCAGGGGTGGCGGGGGTGGCGGGCGTGGTGGCGATCCCGCGCTGCTCCAGCAGGAGGGCCTGGGCCGACACGCGCGTGCGGCCGCGCTGCCCCCTCTGCTGCTGCCAGTGCCTGACGGGCTCCCGGACGGGCTCCGCTGGCAGGGGATCCTCGCCGTGCTCCTGTTGGTGGTGACGGCGATCTTGCCGGGACCGGCCATCGTCCCGCTTCGTGCGTGCCCGCGCGCCGTTGACCCGTGGCACGTCGTCGAAGAACGGGTCGTCCTGCAGGCAGAGGGGGCGATGGAATTGGAGAGGCAGAGGCAGGTTGGGAGGGTCTACTTACGCTGGCCGCGAGTCTAACCTGAACGTCGTCAACGTCGTCGCGGTAGTCTTCGTACGCGTCCACGGCGTCCTGCGCGTCCGTGGTGTTGCCCGAGCTAAACAAGAACCTGCCGTAGTCCAGCTCGCTCGGGTGCATGGAGTCATGCTGGCTGGTCGACTTGGACGGAGCGTTCCCAGGCCCCGGCCCACCCGGCGCGCTGGGCCCCGACGACGACACCGACTTGGACGAGGAAGACGACGACGACGAGGATGTCCGCGTAGACGACACGACCGCGACGCCAGGCGTCACGGCCGCCGTCGAGAAGAGGGGCTTGAAGCTGATGGAGGAGTGGGCGGGCGGCGCCCCCTGCTTGGCTGCCGGGTGCTGTATGGACGCCGAGAAGGACTGCTGAGGTCCCTGGCTCAGCCCGGGGGTCAGTCGCGGGTGCACGTTCGATCTGCGCCAGGAGAAATGCCGAACAGTTATTGCTAAATCCACGCAGTCAGGTCAGACTCACAACCGACTGACCGACTGCATGCCGACTCACTTGGCAGGCGCGGACTGCGCCTCCGGCTCCTCGTCTTCCAGCTCTTCCTCGTCCTCGACGTCCTCGTCGTCCTCCTCCGCCTTGCTGTCGTCGCCGACCACATAGTAGTCGCCCTGGTCGGGCTGCGCGGGCTGCGGCTGGTGCTGGTGCTGGTGCTGGTGCTGCCCCTGGGTCTGCTGGTTCACTTTGAGCTGGTGCAACAGGTAGGCCGACTCGGGCGTCGGGCTGGGGCCCGAGTCCCGCCCAGGCTCCCGCCCAGGGTCCCGCCCAGGCTGCCGGCCCGGGCTGCTGGGCGTGGCCACCGCGGGCTGGAACGGTCTGAAAGGCTGCGGCGGGCTGGGCGTGGCTTTGGGCGGCCCGCGCGACAGCGTCGTGGGGAGCACCTGGCAGACCAGAGGAAACTGTAGTCGAACGACAATAAACCGACAATAAATGGAGCAATAAATACACACGGTCCCCGCCCCATAAAGAGGCAAGACAAAGTTGCTCGTATAACATAACCGACTTCGTCACCACACCGCGTAACGCTGGGGTGGCATCTGGCGCCCTACCACATACAACCAATCCGAGCAACTTTCCACTAGCTATTCTTTACTGTCAATACATTATAAATTAAAAACAACGGAAAAACAACAAAGTAATATTCCGATGATTTATAACTAGGGGAACAAACGCTTGAGCGCCGACGCGATGCCGCTGACTCACCACGTGCGACACGGGCCTTGGAGTGACTGGCCGGAGGATGCTGGTGGGTCCCGCGGAGCCGGGGGCGGGGCTGGAGCCGGGGCCGGGGCCGGAGGGGCCGGAGGGGCCGCTGGGGGCAGACGGCGTGAAGCCCCGCGGGGGAGGCAAGGAAGGCCGGCCGTGTCCCAGGCTGGCGTGGTTGTGTCCGATCGGGGAGGGGCCATTCGTGCCGGCGCGGTTCTGAGGGTTCAAACACACATTATAAGTCCCTTGACTCACTGCGACACGCAGCTTGTTGTGGGTTATCTAATTTACCTTATTGTGCTGCGTCGACGCGAGCAAGTTGATTTGCTGTTGGTGGTGTTGCTGTTGCTGGCGTTGCTGTTGGAAGCTCTGCTGTTGCTGCTGTTGTTTCTGTTGCTGTAGTTGCTGTTGCTGCTGTTGGAGGAGAAGCTGCTGGTGCTGTTGCTGTATCTGCTGCTGCTGTTGCTGCTGCTGCTGAAGTTGCTGCTGCTGTTGCTGGGCCTTCTGGAGCTGCTGCTGCTGGTGTTGCAGGCGGTGACTGTCGACCGGGAAGTGGTGGCCAGAGCTGCCCCCGAGCAACAGCTTGGTGGGGGGCGGCGCAGACAGCGGCGGGGGGCGGTCGGGCCGGAGTTGCGGCCGGGGGCGGGCTGGAACAACACAGGGGGCACGACCTTGACCATCGCGGGAATGCTCAGTGGTACAACGGCGGCGCGCAGCGGGTGGGGCGGGGCGGGGCGGGTAGCGATGCCACGCGGGAGATCGATATCTCGAGCCCCGCCCCACTCTACGCCGCAGGCCCCGCGGCACCTCCGCTTTTAGCCGCAGCAGAAGCAGCTCTGTTTTGGGACATCCGCTGGGCTGGGCTGGGCAGGTGTTCCAAACGCTCCGGGCAAAGACTGCGGCCCTCCACCAGCACCAGCATGTCAACGGTAGTCCTTCGCAGTCTCCTCGCGGACTCCCCGCCCGGACTATGCAAATGTGCGGCACGGCGCGGCGGGGGAGGATGGGGCGGGGCGCGGCCTTATCCCAGCGGCGCCTGACGGAAGCGGCGCGCGGCCGCCGGCCTTACCTGGAGGCTGGAGGCGCCGTTCTTGATCGTGGTTTGGAAGGCGTTGTGCAGCGCGAGCAGCGCCGCCAGGGTGCCCGGGGACCCGCCCTGGTAGTAGTGCTGTCCGGGACCCTGGGGCGGGCCGTGGCCGCCCGGCCCGTGGTCCACGGGCAGCCCTTGCCCCGGCGAGGTCGCCGACGGCCCGCTGGGAGGCGGCGGAGGCGGCGGCCTCGGTGGCAACGGCCTGGGCGCGAGCGTGGTGGGCCTGATGACAGGTGGCGGGGCTGCCGTCGTGGACGGAGGCGCTGCGGCAGGACAAACAAAATGACAGTTATTGCCACTGGCCGGCTCCGCGCAGCTCGGCGCAGCTTCGCGCGATGCATGTGCTTTCCGTTTTCCGGTCGAGGTCAGACCTAGTGTGGCCGGAGGGGCGTGCGTGGTGGGCGGCGGCGGGGTGGGCGCGGGCGTGGCGGTGCTCCTGTCCTGGTGCTTCCTCTCGTCGCCGTCCCCGGCGGGCGGCCCCTCGGTGGACTCCAGCTCGCGCTCGTCCTCCTTGGCGCCCTCCTCCTCCGCGTCGTCGTCATGATGTCTGAAGTCATAACAACAACAACAATGATCAGCGTCCTGCAGTTTGTTTCACCATTTGAATTACTTCACTTTTTTTTTTTTGCTCTACTCACCCGACGGCCGGGCTGTTGCCGTACAACTCGAGGTTCAGGTCGTAGAAGGCCTCCGTCTTGCTGCAGTCCACCTCGTCGAGGCGCTCGCAGACGCGCGTCTCCTGGTCGAACACGGTGCCGTTGAGGCAGAGGAACTTGATGTCCGAGACCTCGCCCTTCTGGCCGATCGTGCAGACGTGGAACATCTGGCAGCCCGTCTCGACGTCCGCATAGTAGCCGCCGATCACCTTCCCCTCGCACGAGAAGTTGGTCTCCGGCAGGTTGTCGAAGTCCAGGTACTTCGTGGGGCGGAAAGAGAACGAGAATAATTAGAGTTAAACGGGGGGAGGCCAGACGGCAAACCGGACAAAAATGCAGAGGAAGAAACTCACCCCGGGCTCCGACCCCGCTCCCTGGGACACCACGGCCGGGTTCTGCAGCAGCAGGAGCAGCAGCGCCAGCACCGCGCCTGAAACAGGAGGGAACACGGAGATTAGGCCTGCGTTTCATTTCAACTCACGATTCACCCCCTATTGCTGTTAACAAAGTGTAGTCAAGTAAAGTGGGGTGGGGTGGGATAGAGTGGGGTGAAGGAGCCAACGAACGTGGCCATGGCACACAGACAGACAGGCGGGTGGGTCCCGGCCGGTCCCGTGGTGCGCTATCGATATTTGAAAGGGAGGGGCGATGGCCACTTGCGATCCTACCCTGCTCTGCAGCAGACCGACACCCGTCACGCGATATCGGCTCACTGAATGGAGGCTGACCGGTCTCGTGTCTGTCTGTCTTGTCCGCCAGTGCCCCTCGCCCGCCCTCTGCCGTTGTTGGCCGCTGTTCGCGACCCCGCCCGGTCCTGGGCATTGCAAACCTCTGAGTGAGTGCGTGCATGTGTGCGTGCATGTGTGCGTGTGTGTGCGTGCATGTGTGCGTGCGTGTGCGTGCATGTGTGCGTGTGTGTGCGTGTACCAAGGCTGTGCGTTCGGAGAGACAGGGAGATGAAAGGAGGAATGTGAGGAGGAAGGACAGTCGGTCACCGAAAAAAGATATCCGGCCGGCAGAATTAGCACCATACTCATCGACCTTGGGGAGAGTGCTGAAAGGGGAGAGCAGGAGAGAAGAAGAGCAGTGTGAGAGCGACAGGGCAAGACCGCTCAGAGCAGGAGGAGAGCGAGAGGCGAGCAAGGCACGCATGTGGGCGGGAGGCACTCAGGCCGCACCAGCTCGCCGATAGAGGGGTCAGCCCGGCCCCAGGCCCGGCCCAAGTCCTGCGAGAGACAGAGGGAGTAGCATTTCGTAAGCTGTTGAGCTGGTATCATTTGGTGGCGGGCAATATGTAACCGCTAGGCCTCATGCGGGGCCGGGGTTGGGGCGGCCGCGGCAAAGCACGAGAGATATCTCCGTGATCGCCTCCCACTCCCTCCTCGTCCAGCAGCTGTCCGCGAGCCCAGGGGGGGACCACCCGCCGGACGGTTTTAGCGCGCCGCGTGAGCAGCGGAGTGTGTGTGTTCGGGGGCCATCTGTCACCTGTGCGGCGGACGTGTGCTCTCATCATCGCTCCCCTTGACGCCCCGAGAGGCGCGACTTTCACCTGCTGCACGCCCGCGATGTCGTCTGGCCTGGCCGGCGCCGCTGGGACGCACGCCGCGCTAAATAAACTTATCCATGCCAAGTGCCGCTCCGCTCCGCCGCGCCGCGCCACGCAGCCGCTCTGGGCCGCAACACGTAATCGTGTGTGTAATGTATCCGGTCTAGGAGTGAGTGTGGAGGGGCGGGGCCGGGCGGGGCCGGGCGGGGCCGGGCCGGACACACTGCTTACGGCCGGGCCCCGCAAGGTGCGAGCGCACCAAACGGCTGCATCCTGTTTATTCTCCTTGGTCCACTCCTGCAGCTCGGCGCACAGAGACCAGCGGCAGCAGCACAGCGCGGGCCTCCCCCTCCGCCGCCGCTCCATGGCCTTCGAGGCCTTCAGCGTGGAAGGAAGCAAGGGACCTGACACCGACACTCGGCGTGCACTCATCTCTCCACGAGGGAGGGGAGGGGAGGGTGGAGGGGGGGGAGCAGCTCATTCACACCACTTCCCACTCTACTTCCACCGACCTTGGTGTAAATTAATTTTTAAAATTCGGACGTGTCTTTGTAAAACACTAAAAAAAGGCGCAATTCAGCGTACTGTCGACATTGTTTCCAAATGCCCGCAAATGACATTCTTCACGCCCCCACCACAACTGCCCGCGACGTGACGCGCGTCCGCAGAAACGAAATGCGAAATCTCGTTCAAGCTGCAGGCTCCGTGCCAATCCCTTTTTTTTTTGTTTCGTCCAAACTACTGCTATGCTTGTTTTGTTGGTCCAGAAGTGCCTCCCCCCCTTCTTTTTCCACTCTTCCCCGGGTGGATTACTGGCTGGCGGGTCCCGCCCTGCCCTTGGATGCCCCGCAGATTGCGACCGCGGAATTTGAAGCAGGCAGGCAGCCCAAGCAACGCACTGCACAATGGATTCGATTATTCCCACACGAGCCTGGCGATACGATCTGATTGGGGGTGGCGGGCGTGGCGTGGCGTGGCGTGGCGTGGCGTGGCACCGCGGTGCGTAGCGGCCCGGTCGGGTAGGTGGCCAGTACCCACTGGGTACCCTTGGCAAGGACGAATGCTGTGCCGGTCAATATCTTTTTCGAGCGTAATGTCCTGCTGGACTGGCCGGGCAAGGCGGGCGGCCGCGGCCGCTACTGCTGCTGCTGCGGACCGAGCAAGGAAGGCAGGCAGTGGGAGGAGGATGGAGAAGGAAAAAAACAGAAAGAGAAATGGTCAGGAACAATTGAGGCTGGCGTTGTTGTCTCGTTTCAGTGCCACCACCGGCTGTGCACATTTGTCCGAGTGTGTGTGTGTGTGTGTGTGTGTGTGTATCACTGTGTTAAGTGTTTTTTCTCTCCTCTTACTTCGTCCCCTGTTGTGCCAGTAACAATCAAGGTGTAAGAAGCGTCGCCTAGTTGGTTTATAGACGTGAACGGAATCATAATAAAGAAAACAAGTGTTCTGTCGTTGCTACAAGCGCGTGCGCTTCGTCGACTCGTGTGTACACAGGACATAGAGTTTGTTACGAGATAAGCCGTAAGAAAAATGGAAAATTAAGGTCGTTTTCGAGAGAAAAAAAAGAAAGGCAAAACAAGAGAAAGAGAGAAGAATGCGCGCGGGCGCGAGGGAGCGCGTGGCGTGCACGGGTCTCCCTCGGGGCGTGGTGTGCGTGAGTGTGTGATTTGCGTGGGTGATTTGTGAACGTGCCCCGGTAAACGATCTGCGCGGGTGCGCGCGCGCGCTTGTCGGTGTGTGTGCATGCGCGGGTGAACCCGCACACTTATTGGGTGGGTCTGCAGCTGGCGGGGCGGGGCGGGGCGTTCCTGCCCGGCAAGTAAGGCGTAAGCCAAGGAGTAATACAAGGCCGTGGCTGCGGCAGTGCCGTGCCCTGCCCCGCCCTGCCCCGGCGTTGCCCCGGCGGTGCCCTTCACCGCCCGGGCCTGAGCCCTGCGAGCGCCGCGCGCGCATTGTGTAACCCGGCTTCATGAAAACCACTCTGTTTGCGCGTAATACGGTGCGCGGGAGGGTGCGGAGAGGGGCAGGGACTAATCATCGGTCAAATGAGGAGGCGTGGCGTGATGAGGGTGGGTGGTCGGTGGAGCCAGCCCACCAAGGGCCCGCGTCAGTCGGGAGGCCCTTCACTCGGCCGGCCCGGCCCCTCCTCCTCTCTGCTCCACCACCTGCCTTCCGTCCGGAGGTGAGCGGAGCGCCTCACGACGGCATCTCAACTAACAAACGCACGGCGCAGCGTTTAAAGAAACATGTTCGTAGCCCTGCTGTTAAAAGCAACCACTCCTACCCGGCCACAAATAAATGTGGTCACATCCTGCGGAGCTGGTGCCGTCA